CACTTAAGCTGCTGAGCTATATCCCTAGCCCCAAATAAATAAATTTTAAGAACTAAAGTATGCTTGATTCATAAGTAGAGATGGAAAATTTATTAGAATACACAAAACAAGTAATTTATTTTTGGTACCAGGAATTGAACTCAGAACCTCATGCTTGCCAGTCAGGAGCAGTGCTACTGGGCTATATCCCTGGACCTTATTTTTTTAATTCTTTAGTCAGGTGTGGTGGCAGATGCTTGTAATCTCAGCACCTAGGAGGCCTGAGGCAGGATTGCTGAAAGTTTGAAGCCAGCCTGAATTACATACAGAGACTGTGTCTTGAACCAAAAGGAAAAAAAAAAAAAAACAAATAAAAAACAAGCTTTAACCTCATTTTTATCCTTGTTACTTTACTTCAGGTGCTCCAGAGGCTGGTGGACCTGAGCGGAGGCTGGGACGCCCTGGTGGGCCCCGGGCCCTGGAAGACGGGTCCCGGTGGCCGGTGGCCCAGAATGAGGCCAGCTCCCAGCATGCCCTGCAGCCGGACGCCAGCCCCTCGGCCTGCAGCAGTGGTAATAAGGACGCAGTCATTCTTCAGGCATCCACTGAGGTGCCTGGGAGTGGGACCATGCAGAGCAGCCCCTCCCCTGCTCATGCTCAGCTCTCAGTTCTACAGACACAGGTTTGAAAGTGGGAAGGGTTCCTTTTCTGCTTTTGTTTTGTAGGTACTGAATTTGAGGCAGAAGTATGGCTGGCCCTAGCTATCTCAGTTGCTGAGTCTGGAGAGTTTTTGGTGCTCAGCTAGACTGGACTGTAGTCTAAATTCTGGTGGATATACAAGTTCATTTACTTTTAGTATTTTATTGATCTTGAATTCAGATGCTCCTTTGCTAAAAAGCATTGGAAGCGTTTGTGTAATATGCTTTTAAGACTGTAGGCTTTGAGATTAGTTTAACTTATTTTGGACCTGGGAAAGGGTAAGTGAAGTGAGCATGTAGGGTAGGAAAAACCTGACTTTTAGACCAGGTGTGGTGGTGCATGCCTGTAAATCCCAATGCTGGGGAGGCTGAAAATAGGAGGGTCACTGAGTCTGACCTGCTTAGTAAGACCCTATACCAGGGGCTGGGGAGATAGCTCAGTAGAATAAGCGCTTGCCAGGTTCTGAGTTCAATCCCTGGTACTGCAAAAAAAAAACCCTATACTAAATACATTTTTAAAAAAAGCTTTCATGTTCACTTGAAGAACATCTGTGAAACTGCCCAGCTGTCAAGGGTATATCTGAAATGTCACATTAAAAAAGCACTGTAGGGATGGCAAGATAGCTTAGCGGACTAAGTGCCTGTATCACGTGCTAAATTGGCCTGACCACCAGGCACACTACGAAGTCTGGGCGTGGTGGCTCATGCCTGTAATCTCAGCATTGGGGAGGCTGAAAACTATTGAGCCCAAGCTACATAGTGAGACCATGTACCAAATACATCAAAAACCATAACAAACCCCCCTGACTTTAGCAATTGGATAGATTTAGCTTGGGATACAGCAGGCTTTTGAAGGGTATGGATTTTAGTTAATTAATTTTTGTGGTATTGGGGGTGGAACTCAGGACCTTGCCTTTGCCAGGCAGTCACTTATACTACTGAGCTATCTCCCCGGTCCAACTTTATCTTACTTATTTTTTGTCTTTTTGAGACAGGGCATTGCTATGCAGTTCAGGCTGGTCTTGAGTATACCTTATTGCCCATGGTGGTCTCAGACTTGTAAAAATTCTCCTGCCTCAGCCTCCCGAATGCTAGGATTATAGGCATATGCCCCCACACCTGGATTTTTTTTTTCTTTTTTGCGGAACTGGGGATTGAACTCAGGCCCTTGTGCTTGCCAGGCAAGCACTTATTCTACTGAGCTAACTTCCTGCCCCCCCACTTTTTTTTTTTAGTACCAGGAAATGAACTCAGGACCTTGGGCTGGCCAGGCAGGAGCCGTGCTGCGAGCTATATCCCTAGCCCCTATTTTTTGGAGACGGTCTTGTTATGTAGTTCAGCCTGGTCTTAAACCCACTATGTAGGTGAGGCTGGTCTGAAACTTGTGGTTATCCTCTATCCTCAGCCTTCGAGTGCTGGGATTATAGGTTTGTGCCATCATGGTTGGCCCAATAGATTTAATACTTAAAGCTTTCGTAACCATTGGAATATATTCGTCATGTATAGTCATTTTTGCGTATTTATTTATTTTTGTGGTATCGGATTGAGCTTGGGACCTTGCACTTGCAAGGCAGGTGCTTATGAAGCTGAGCTATTTCCCCAGCTCAAGTGTTTTCCTTTTGTCATTTAGCTGAGGTATGAATTTGGTGCCTTGTGAGACTATGTGGTTAGAATGATTCATTTTGGGGGATGTTTTTTGAAATGTGGGTCATGCTGTGCAGTTCAGGCTGGCCATGTACTTACTTTGTAGCCCAAGTTGGTATCAAATTCACAGTGATCTTCTGGCCTCAGCCTGAGTGCTGAGATTACAGGCATGTAGACACTCCAGTGGCACAGTTGGTTGGTGTGCAGTACTTGTAGAGATTATATGCATGTGCCACAACACCCAGCTCTGTTTACGCTTTGTGCGCTACCTTGTAAAGTAATATGCAATTCTTTAGGAACCCATAATCAATCTCTAACCCTTACATCCCTATTGAAGATTTTAGGTGGCTTTTTTCTGTTTTCTGATGAATTTGATAATAGCTTAGATGTATTGCATAGGTCAGTCTGCCATATTTCCTGGGCAATGGAGAAATAAGGAACTGTTTATGTGAGTGAAGTCACTGAAACCCTGAAATATTGTGGTATAATAACACTTTTAAGTTAGAAAATGTGTAAATGTCAGTATGTTATTTTTTAAGTCGGGCATCTGCTATGTGATCTTAATATATCACCTTTTAAGAACTTCATTCTAGGTGTTTGTGTTTGTAAAACAGAAGTTGATACCTTATTCTAGAGGGGGTTTTATGCTTTTTTTTTGTATTTTATGGAAGGGTCTACAGGGTGTTCAGGGTCTTACTACTAGATTGGATTTATAGTGATCCGCCTGTTTACAGCCTCCTAAGAGCTGGGCTTATAGACGGGCGCCACCACACTCAGTCTCAGTTGCCATCTCAGTGCACCCAAGGGCAGGGCCAGCATGCAGGCTAGAGGTTTTTTGCTGAAAATAGAACTGTATGCTACACTTTAAAAGTGCAGTAAAAAGCCAGCATTCGTTTTCATTTTTCTCTTTTAGATGGTGTCGGACGGCATGACAGGCAGCAATCCTGTGTCCCCTGCCTCATCTAGTTCTCCAGCCTCTAGTGGGGCAGGTGGCATCTCCCCCCAGCACATAGCTCAAGATTCTTCTCTGGATGGACCTCCAGCCCCCCCAGATGGTACCACAGTGCCTCTGGAAGGGGTCAGCTTAACCCAGGCTGGTGACCTGGCTAACAAGGGCCCAAAGTGGGAGAAGAGCCATGCTGAAATTGCAGAGCAAGCTAAACATGTACGTATTATGTATTGGGAAGGGGCATGAGGATATTTATTTATTTATTTATTTTTTGCAGAACTGGGAATTGAACTCAGGCCCTTGTGCTTGTCAGGGAAGCGCTTATTCCCCTGAGCCATCTCCCTGGCCCCTCTTTCCTTTATTGAGACAGGGTCTCTATGTAGTTGAGGTTGGCCTTGAACTCTATGTAGCCCAGGCTGATCTTGAACATACAGCAATCCTCCTGCTTCAGCCTTTTGTGTGCTGGGATTGTAGATCCCTTGAGGATTTTTGAGTCTTGTCTTAACTGCTATACACTGTATGTATTTTATGTCTGGTAAGGGGTGGAGGTGGGGTTCAAATCGCAGTATCCTGCACCTGACTATATTTGCACGTGAAGGCGCTTAAACAGCTGAGCTAACCAGCAGGCCCCCTTTATGTATTTTTTTTTTTTTTAACATTTATTTAGTGTGTGTGTGTGTGTGTGTGTGTGTGTGTGTGTGGCCAGCTCAGCCCACCAGGGGGCGCGGCTGGCCGGCATGTGGTGCTGGAGGATCGAACCGCAGTCCCTGTGCTTTGCCAAGCTTGTTCCAAGTAGGTGCTTTAGACCACTGAGCCAGCTCTCCAGCCCAGGTTAATAGCATTTAACAACTTTGGC